GGATCGTTGACAGATTCCAGTCCGGGAATAATACACCGCCAAATTGGGAATGGTTTTGGAGAAGGGAAATGGAACCCAAAAAAGGCACCCAATTTCGCCCTTGGGGCTTGCCAGACATTTCAGCCCCATTCCGATCTCAGCTCTCCCGAGCCCTCCAAGCATGAGAAAAGCCCACCAAATTGGTCGCTCACTTCTGAGGCAGGAAAACCTGACTTGCGGAGTGACAGCTCCCGAAGTTTGGAGGAGCAATTGCGCAAAAAGCCCGGGGTCATTTTTGCGCATCGAAGTACTTCTTCCTTTTCTTTGGTCAGGGGCAATTTTTATAAATAAAAACCATATTTTGACTTCAGAGTCCCGAACACCAGCTTCCTACTAAAGATCCAGGCTGTCCTGCTGCTTCAACCCACCTCCTTTCTGGATGCGTCCTGGATTGTGGGCAGCTCAGACATCCCTCTTTCGGAGAGGCTGTCTGTTTTGCTTTTAATTTACTAAACTGGTGGGGAGTTTTTGCGGTAGAATTATTTTTCCACCGCCATTTGCCAAATAAAATCTTTTGATTCTTGTGTTTCCAGAGGTAATTATCTGACCACTCTGAATGCAAAGGAGGCCTCAGAACGAGCCTCGCGTCTCTCCGAGCAGGGGAACGGAGGTCCCCTCAGCCGCGCAGGTTGGAAGCAGGTGCGCGCAGAGGAAAGCCAACTGTTGAGCCCGCATTCCATTGTTCGCGGTCCTCACGGACGCGTTTTCCTTTGGTTTCTGGTTGCATCTTTTGCCCGTGGCACCATGCCAACGCCTTTGTTTCTGTTCCTGACTTATATGCATGTTTAACTTTAAACACTTCCTGACAGTTAGCTTGTTTGGCCAAAGGTTTTTACTCCCCCAAACAAGCTGTCTATGCAAAACTCAAATCTAGCGGTTGCTTTTACAAGTCAGAGAGAAAGAGAGGGAGGGAGAGGGAGAAGGAGGAAGGACAGGGAGGCTGCCTTTTTCAACAGGGGAGAATCACATCAACGAAAAAGAGAGTAAATGGAGTCGAGTGAAAGCGGCTCAGGGGTTTTAGGCTGCAATCCCAATCCTATTGACCTGTGTTTCAATTCCATTTAAGTAAACGTTGCTTCTTTTTGAGTAGACAAGATTTAGACTGTTTGTTTCCCAAAGAAGATATTTTAAGCAACTTCTCCACACCAAGATCCTTTGCTTCCTACTTGCATAACATACAACATCACTTTGCATTGCAGTAGAAGGAACAACTTGTAATGTTTCCATATTTTCTAAGTGGCACATTTTCCACTGTTGTTTAGAAGACTCTCTGGTGGTGTGTCCAAGAGACACTTCCCTTGGGAAAGTGGCAAGAACAATCTCATTGCATCAAACCAGAGGTCCACCTACCTCAGGCAGAGAAAATTGGTGGCAATCCAGATGTTGATGGACTGCAAATCTCATGACCCTTCATGATTGGCCATGGTGGTTAGGGCTGATGGTATCTGGTACTCTGTACCTTTCCCATCCCTAATCTAATTCAACATATTTTTTCTAAGAATAAAAATGTTCTAATGTTTTACACAATCACATAATGCACCCCATGTGCCAGACACCTATCTTCCACTTTGTGTTTGGAGCAGGTATTCTGGGAGCTCAGCAAAAAGCTCTGGAAAAAGACAAGATGCCGGCTTGCATTTCCCCCTTTGTTTATTTTACTTTAAAATTAGTTTATTTAACACAATATGGGAACCACTTTCATACAGCAGTGGGATAGTGCTCACTGTAATTGCTAGGGTGGGAGGCCCAGCACAGACAGGTAGAGGCAAGGTTACAGGCACAATCAGGGCAAACTTGGAAATGTACATAGACACAGATATTTATCCATACACACAGCAGGAGAGGGATATAGCTGGGATCATGACCCTCTGCCAGTGGTAAAGAGGCAGGTGGGAGTAGACTCACTGAGGTTAGCTTGAGCCTGAAATGGGATAGGACCTCACTTGGCCTAATGGATCAGCCCCCACCCCTTTCATATGGTGAATGCTACACAGGCCATGTAGGTTGATGGACACGTCTGGACTACCTTCAGAAACTCCAGTAGGGCAATGTGTAGGGCACATGTGCATGGTCCAACTAGAAAGCAAGAGTTGTGAATAAAATCATTTGCTGTGCAAAAGCCATACTGAGCAAACTGGAGATAAATGTTGGTGATAGTGACAAATCTTTTATTGGAGGAATGTCTAAGAATTGTTTAAGATTATAGTAGCTTTGAAGTTACACAGAATCCATCATTCTTCACTGCAAGCAGTCAGATTTCTGCAGGTTTTACTCAGAAACAAGGTCAAATTCATTTGGTGGGACTCACTCCCAGGTGAGTGTGTGGAGGATTTCAACTTATGGAAGGTGTTTTCTGCCTATACAATTGCACTGGACTTTGGTATTTTGGGGCTGGCAATTGTCCAAGCTCCAGATGTTTAGTAATCAACTAAAAACACAAATTCCAATTACACCCTTCAGTAGTAATGTTGCCCTTGCCATACATGGTGACCAGATAGATTGTTTATGCTCAAAAGGGGCTGTGCATAAAATCTGCTGGTTCTTGTTGTCAAACATAACATACAGCTGACTTCCTCTGCCTCCACAAACAGTATTTAGTGGCTAAAATAGGCTTTGTTGTGTTGGACTGCATGTAGAACAAGAGCTTGCAGTTGTACCATTCTGCTTGGTCAGCTACCCTCACTACACCACCGAGCATGCTAATATCTAGCCTGAAGCAAATGTTAGTGTTAAAAAAAAATCCTCCAGTAAGAGATTCAAAATTCCAACCTGAGTTTCCATTTGCAAAATCCAGTAGGTGTGCATCTTACTGTTTTGGACTCAGAATTTACTTCTGTGATTTCCCCAGAACAGTGTTGTTGTTTTTCCCCTCAAGAGGGATGGGGAGAGAGAGAGATCTCACATAATTAAACCTTAGAATTGCCATTAGCTGAAACAAAAACAAAAGAATTGAACAAATTCATTAAAAAGATCAGTGATAATTAATTATGGCTGTTAAATGGCACCTCCACATTCAAGAGCAGTGTAACTTTTTGAATAGCAGGTCACAATTCTGGAGATAAATATAAGCAGCAAGTTGTTGCCTTCATGCCCCTTTTAGGCAATAGTCTGCTGCAGAGCTAAATACATGTATTTCTTGCAGGGTTTTAGTCTTCCTACACTGGGCATCCAACTGTCTAAAAACTTGTCACTGATCCCTGCAAGAATTCTGCTCACAGGGGTGTTATTTCAGACACTCTCACTGTGTGTACAGTATATGTGCATGTATATCTCTGTTTTTGTGTGGCTATGACAGAGAAGACTAAGTAAAGTTTAAAGACTTTTCCTTTGATCATCTTACGAAATGGGTAAAATCTGGGGACAAGACTCCACCAACCAAAAGAGCAGGAAATGTGGGTGGATACTGGGAGCTGTAGCCCAGAAAAGTACCTTTCCCAAGCTTTCCTCTTCCTCCTCCTTCCTCCTCCTGTCCTACCTTAAAAGGTCACCATGGGTATTTTGACTTTGGATGCACTGGTTTTAAACAAGGATGTGGGGTTGGATCCAAGCCTCTCTCTGCAGCCTTCAGCCAAGTCGGCCTCCTTTTGCCATGTGTCTTCCCATTTATTTTATCTCCAATGATCAGCTTTTTACTGTACTGCCTTGGATATACTGAAAACTAAACTGAAAATGCACCAATTCAATAACAAAGGAAGCCTCAGCCTTGAGATTCTTAATGACAGTACCTTTTGAAGTCCATTCATTCATAGGGTCGCCATCATACCGAAGCCACCGGACCCCATATAGCAAGAAAATGAAAACAGAAACAAAACAAAAAAACTTAGCATATTTTAAGAGCAAGCATTTTTTGCAAGGAATATTTTCAGGAATTCTCTTTTTGAAACCTGTTCTAAGGCACGCAGCGCTCTCACTGCGCAGCTGTCTCCCTGGCATCATCATCATCATCATCATCATCATCATCATCATCATCATCATCATCATCATCATCATCATCATCATCAGTAGCAGTTAAAGCCAAAGAAGTTGTGCCTTTAGCATGCACACCTAGTGCCCTTGGAACTCCTGCTGTTGCTGCAGAAGCAAAGGAGGTGGTGGGAACTGCCAAATCTTGCAAACCCCCACCCCAGTCTTTGTGGGGCTGCCAGCTGTGCGAGGGGCTCGCGTGGCTCGGCTCGGCGGCAGCTCGCTGATTGGCTTCTCCCAAGCGGGCGGTGGCGAGATAGGCACGCTCCAAGCCGGGCTGATAAGATCAAGCGTGCCAAAACGGAGGCGAGGAAGGCGGAGGACCCGACCGAGAATGCACCGCACGCTGCTGCTTGCTGCCCAGACCAGGAAATCCCGCATTGTCTCCGTGCGCTATAAATAGGGGCCCCAAGGCAGGCGTGTGCCGGAGCGGCAGCCTCCACTTTGCAGCCGTCGGGGGAAAAAAGCGCTCTCTTCTCCGACAGCAAAGCTGGGCAGCCTCCGCAGGCGAGAGCTTCGCCACCGGCGCGCAGGTAAGGAGATCTGCTTGCTTCGTCTTCCGAGGTCTGGCTGGCTGCCTTGAGGCGCGTGGGAACCCACAGAAGTCGCTTCTTGTTCCTGCTCTAGTTTGATCCCCCAGGACCTGGGCAGAGGTGAAGGCGCTGCAGGTACGCTCACGGGTGATCTCCTTCTCGCGCGCGTCGTCAAAAGTTTTGTCACAGATGTTCACGGGCTAAGATTGCATCTCTGTTCCCCCCCGTCCCCCCAGGGCTCTCTTTGCAGAAACAGATGGGGCACGTCCAAGCCCACCTCTCCTCCCAACCTCTTGCCCTTCAGCTGATGGGCAGGTTCCTCTTGACCGCCCCCTGCTCCCCGATCCCACACGTCCTGGTGCCCTTCCAGGGCTGCCCCTGCGCCAGTGATCCCGCCCGATCCCAAACTCCCTTGGCCCGGCGCGGACACTAAGGTGGCCTCGGCCGTCTCCTCTCCCTTGCAGGATGTCTCCCAAGACGGCCTCGTCTCCAGCCTCCCAGGGGACCAGCGAGGGAGAGCCGGTCTTCTCGGGCATCTGCGACGACGACGCCTGCTCCTTCTCGTCCTCACCCTCGCTGGCCGCCGGCAGCCTGCCTGCCTCTCCAAGGCCCTGCCGCTTTCAGCGGGCGACGGGAGAGCGGCCGCCCTCGCCCTCGGAAGGCGGCTGTCCTGCCAGGAAAGCGAAAGGCCGTCGGGGCCGCGGCAAAGGCGAAGGGCTGGGGCTGAGCAAGGCCAAGAGGAGCCGCCGCATGAAGGCCAACGACCGCGAGCGGAATCGGATGCACAACCTGAACTCGGCCCTGGACGCCCTGCGCGGCGTCTTGCCCACCTTCCCCGACGACGCCAAGCTGACCAAGATCGAGACGCTCCGCTTCGCCCACAACTACATCTGGGCCCTCACCGAGACCCTCCGCCTGGCCGACCAGAGCGTCCTGGGCGCCGGGCCCAGCCCCGAGGGCGCTTTCCAGTCGCTCGGCACCTGCGGCGGCGGCGGCCCCGACAGCCTGGCCCTTTGGCCCGGCCAGTGGGACTCGCTTTACTCGCCCGCCTCGCCAGAGGGCAGCCTCAGCCCTGCCGAGTCTACGAAAGGGGGACGCCTCCTCCAGGCTCCCGGAGGAGGCGGCGGCGGGGCCCCGGCAGGCTGCCTCAGGCACGCGGCCTTCGCCGACTTCATGTGAGCGCCGCCTTCCCTTCGGACATGTTTGCCCGGAGTCTCGGACGTGAGGCGAGGCGAGGCTGCCCAACAGACTGTGCCTGGCCCCGGGCGGGCCACACCGGAGAGCGCCCGCCCTTTTCGTAACGCCCCGACCTTTTTTTTGCCTTAAGTGGGACGCTTCCCGCCACTTCGCCTTGCACTCTCCCCCGACCCCGCTCCCCTTTGGCCACGAGGGAGGCCGCAGACAACGCCTGGCACGTGATGGACGAGCAGGCCCGCTCAGTTGAGGGCTCAGATGAGGCCTGGGCCATTTCACAGTGCGAGCCCCCCCCCACTTTATTGTTTGGGAAGAGGGGTAAACAAAACAAAACAAAAAATAATGTAAAGAATGGGATAGATATATAGTTAAAATTCATCAAATGTATGACAGCTTTACACCCTTGGCTGAGGTGGGCCCTACTAGTGAGCTGAGGCGAGGTTCAGTGCAAATGGGCCTGCGGACCCCACTGCCCCTGGCTTGGTGACAAGGAATCAGCCCACACTGGGGTTGGGGGGAAGCACTCCCCAAATTGATCTCCTCAGATGGGGGAACAATTTATGGCTATCTAGGTGTTGGGCTATGTATCTCACACCCATCAGCCTTCAACCGCAGCACAGCCCACTCCTAAGGGAAGACCGGCTTTGCGGTGGAGGAATTTCTGGAAGGATGGAACCTGGACATCACTCCCTTCCCTCCCGATGCTGGAAAGAAATTCATTCAGATTACTTGGCCTCCTCTGCCATGTAGTACAATCTGGAGAAAAATGCATTTTCCTACTGTTCAAATGGCAGCATTGAGTTTTAGATGGTACCAAACAAAAGTGATGATTGCAGAATGAAATCTAGCTTTGTATCATAGACAAATCTTGGATGGTGTATGCCTGTGATATCATGATTCTTTAGCTTTTTGGGTGTGCGGGTGTGTGTGTACATACTATTTTATTTCATTGACATAACATGTCAACTCTGACTTATGGTAACCCTTTCCAGGATTTCCTAAATACAGAAAACTTAGAAGTTATTGAACATTTTTCCAGGGTGCCCTGGGACTGTACAATTTGGCCCAAGGCTACACAAGTTGACTCTTCTACAAGGTACAGTGAGGGATTGAACTCCCTCTCCCTCCACAGCCAGGTACCTAACTCATTGTGCTATCCAGCCTGTTTATATATGTCCTTCAATGTTGAGCGTTCCCTAATGTACCCATGCAGTGAGGTCCACTTATCATTAAAAGCCTTTGAATAGCTGAAACGACAGAACAGCTGGCAACCCCTTTCCCCTATAGCAGGTGTCTTAGACATTTCATGCTTCTGTGTGTGTTTGACTTCCTTTGCTTCATACACCTTTGTGCCATGAAATTTCTTTTAAAAAAACCCCAAACCTAAAATCCTGTGAAAGTCACTCGAAAATAAGTTCCAGTGAGAATTATTCCCAAGGAAATGTATATTTGAATTGCAGCATTATTGTATTGTATATTACATTGCAGCCTTAAAAGGAGAGTACTGTATTTCTCTCCATATGTGGCCCGTGATTCATATAGTCTCGCTCCAGCTGAACCATGATAGATCCCTGCCTCTCCCTTTCTGGTGTTGTGATTCCCTCCCTTTGGCTTTGTCTAGGGTCTAGGTGACATAATTGCACTATGGGTAGTAGTGTGAACAGCAGGTTAAGGGTAAAACGTGAGAGCATAATCCAGCCAAGCCATCATGTGCTCATCTTTCCCACTCATTAAAACAAAAGGGAATATATGATGCTTCCTTTTTGTCAAGTTATTGGGAAAAGCCTGGAGCTTTCCACATCAGATGCATTTGCTCCACATTTGCTGCTGTCAGTAGAAATTTTCTTGTGGTTAGGAGTTTTGCCCTAGGCTTCTGGAGTAGTCACTCTGGAGTAACCCTTGTAAAAGAAATAATCTGAGATAGAAACCACTCTAGAAACCATAGTCACTCCCTTGGGCTAAATCTGATGTTATTCCTACCTAGAATAGGCCCATTAAAACCAGTAGTGTTTAAATTGATTGCAGCTAACACAATCCATTTCTTGCAGTGTTTCTGCTAGGTGTAAAATTAACAGTGGGAATCCTTTGATTTAAAATGCTGTTATAAACATGTCTTGAAGGATGGATAACTCTTCCCTTGTAACCCATTCTCCAATAATCTATTGGGTACGTATTCAAGAGCACTTAACATAGATTAGTTACCTCTCACTGCACTTAACCATTTTGGGATGAAAGATGTCTGCAGTGCAATCCTATACATATCTACTCAGAAGTAAGCTCCATTGAGTTTTGCAAGGCTACTCCCAGGTAGGTAGGTATACAACTGCAGCCTAAGATTGGTAAACATTGGATTTCCTTCCCCAGTTTTTCATGCATGTTGTGAGTGTAACGTGGATTCTGATTTGTCTTAATTTTTTGTTATGAACTGTAGAACTCCTGAGGCAATGGTGAAAACAGAACTAATCATAGTAATTTTGTTACTTGTGTAACCAAGCATTGTGCAAATGTGTGATATAAGTGTATGTTAATACAGGTGAGAAAAGAATATGTGTCAGGTACGGGGGTGAAGTACTTTGGCTTAACTTATGTTGTACCTCTGGAATAAGCAACTTGTACCTGCCCCCCAAATATTAGACTGCAATTCCAGTCAGCCTTAGCCAGCATAGTCAGTTAGGAGGACCACATCCAGCCCCAATTTTAGGCAGATTGAGGCTGTCAGATCAGGTGGTATAAAGGTGGTAGGAATAGTCACCTCTGCCTGTTTTCCTTAGCTGTTGAATAGAGCAGTCTGTCCTACATCACACAAGATGGCCAGATGACATCTAGGATGGTGAAGAATATTGCACCATAGTGATGAAGCAAGAATCAAGTCCATTTGTCTGTTGTAGATGGAATGAGTTGAGGAGTAGTAAGCTGGTCCCTTTGCCACAGGTAGCAGATCATCATCAGAGATCATAGAAATCACTGTCTAACAATATTAGGAGGGCTAGATGTTGCTCGTCCCTGTTGAATATGTTCTTGACGGTTCTTAGTTATAGAGCACATGCATTTTAACATAGTCCAGCATTTGGCTTTTCCAGTAAAAGGGCTCAAATTGCAAATCCTAGAGCTTGAAAAGTTACTGTGTCTGTCAGGGCAGGCAACTTGGATCAAGGATGGCTACAGAATTACATTCCTTTGGGGGGGGGTGATTTGCTGGAGGTCTGCATGCCTGCCAGAGCTCTCCCCTGCCCCCCCACTCCTTTTTTTATCCTCACACAAGAGCTGGGAGGAAGGGGGGGGCAGATCAGTCCTGCCAGAAGTCTGAGCTGATCAAATATTTAAGATTTTGCAAAAAGTGTGTTGTAGTAGGCAATTACAAGTGCTTGAAATGAATGTTACAAGTAATACTGTTACTTCTAACTAATGAATGAGTACTTGTTACCTTTCAGCAGAGTAAGGATGTAATGACACTATGTTACTTCAAAAGTAATGTAACAAATTGGATTGCAGTTGCTTTTTGTGTGGAATGAGTAATGTTTTTGCTTTACTTCCCTTAAAGGACATTTTAAGGCATTTTAACTTGATTTTTGTCAAGAGTTATTGCCAGGGGCAACACACAGACACAGACACAGACATAGAGACACAGACACAGACACACACACACACACACACACACACACACACAAATATTCTAGTCTTCCCCAACCAGGCACTGATGTTCTGGGCTACAACGTCCATGGTGGTTGGAGATTTTGTGTAGAATACTCCAGCGATTTCGGAGGGTGACGAGTTGGGATTGGCTGTGTAAATATTTTTGTACCTTGCAAACAAAGCTCTTATTTCCCTGTAGAATGATACCCTGTTGATAAGAATAATTTGTACCCTCTTTTTTAGTATTTGGAAATGGTAATTTATAATAATTTTTTAAAAAAATATGTTTGTATTTATTGATTATATTTCAGAACAAATATATACATATATTTATATATATATATATATATAATATTGGTATCTAAGATTATATTTTATACATGCTTTTTGATAGGGTGGCAGGGAAAATTAAAACAAATGTTCACTGGTGGTGGGAATTAAATTTTCTTTGAAAAAAGGGAAATTGTATTGTGTCAAGTTGATTAATACACATATATATGATATTATAATACACACCTATATTGGTGCTGACAATAAAATTGAAATAGTGGTTATATGATGAGGATTTCTGATCATAGAGATCCCTGTCCCCCCCCCCTTAATCAAAGCATCATAAACTCCCATTTGTCGACACTTCTCATCACATATGGAAACTGCCTTCCAACTCTGTAGAACCTTTCGAGTTTGTTTCAAAAGTGATATATGGCACTAATCAAAAGCCGGATGAAGGTTAAACAGCAAACACACTGATGAAGGACGGTGTTGTTTCATTCCTGGGGATTTGATTGAACTGGCCAAGATTAATGCATTATTGGTGATGTTTTGCCAAGCCAGGGGAAGAGCAAAGTTTGTGCCTGGAGCCTGGAGGTTTAGTGGACTATTATGGGTACAGAAGGGGGGAAGATGCCAGCTGCAGCAGCAGCAACGGTGGCAGTAGTAACAGATGATCCATTAAAAACCTTTGGTGCTTTCAGTCTTGCCCAGTGTGGGGTACTGGTGTTGTTATTGTTATAACAGTAATAACAAGAATCTAACAACGATATCTTCTCATGGTATTTATTTCATGTGGTCATTAACGTTAAATACGGTGGCCTTTTTTGTAATTCAAAAAGTTTATGTGGCAGGATCTCTGAAGGCTTTGCAAACCGCACATGGAAGGAGAAGTGTTGGGAGACTGGGATTGATCTGATGATGATGGAAGACTAATAGAAGGTGGTGATTTCCGGAACACACACGGGATTGGCACATGTTGGGATGCTGGAAATGATCCAGTGCCACTAGGAGGCAAGCAGCAATGGTCAACCTTTCGCTTCCGGGAGCTTCTTTGTTGTGTGACCTGAACTTGTGTGGTG